AGGCAATAGCCCATCAACTAAAATCCCAAGTCCTAATACGCAAAAAAGAAAAGAAAACTTCAAGACAAGGCGAGCATACTTCTATTGGGTGACAAGAGAGCAAGGGTCCTTTGACTGGTTTAAAGGGGTGATGAATGAGGTGGCTGAGCAAGACCATAACCATGTTATAGAGCTTCACAACTATTGTACCAGTGTTTATGAAGAGGGTGACGCAAGGTCTGCTCTAATTGCCATGCTTCAATCCATAAATCATGCCAAGAATGGTGTGGACATCGTCTCTGGCACACGAGTCAAGTCTCACTTCGCCAAGCCTAATTGGCGTAATGTCTACAAGCGCACTGCGCTTAACCACCCTGATTCTAGAGTTGGTAAGAGCACCTCTCTAATCCTATAGTTTATTATGTGTTGTTTTTGCCAAGATCCAGCACTAAATCTTCCATATTGCTTGAACTAGTTCAGAGTTTTTGCATATTCAAGTCCTTCGCTCTTAAGAGTAAAAATCTTCTCTGTGCTTGAAAAGTAATCTTTCTTTACACTGTCACTTCCTCAAAAAGAAGATGAAAAAGGTATATTAATGTGAAAGCAGGTGCTTTTACTGGGTCCAGGTTAGAAATTTGAGAGATACTGGTACCAGAAAAGAAAGATATGGGCAGACTATTGTTTTTGCTGAGGACAACAAATCAAATCCTTCCCACAGGATCCATGCCATGCATTATTCATCACTTCTAGAAATGAAAATTGAGATATCTGTGTGTATTCACAATTGCAGGAGTGTTTTACTGCGGGGCACCAGCATTGACAAAAGAGCTGCGCCAACTAGCCTTGGATTTCTCTCACAAGACCAGCACCAAGTTTGATTTTCACAAAGAAAACTTCTAACTAAGCTTCGATGGATAAAAAAGAGCAGAAACACGCAAGACTAGTCCTCTCGAGCTCAATCCACTCTGATCGCACTATCCCTCACGTCCAAAGATTTTGGCCCACCTGCAATTTGACCATAATGTTTGTCATAATGCTTTCTTTATCAAGTCTGCTCCAGGACCATGAATAGAATATCGATGTATAAAGATAGTGCTATGGTAGATGGGGGAGCACCCACCATAAAAGTTGGGAAATATAAGAAAATTGCGTGAGCATGACGAAATGCCATGCTTATTACTAACCTATCTCTATACACAAGGGAAGTAAATGTGAGCTTCTTCTTTTTTTGGATAGAAGAGTGAACTTATTTTAATAAGATTGATTAGTAGTATGTAATGATACCAGCCATTTCTGATTTAATAACTTCCTTGAATGATTAGTTTTCCTGCTATTCAATCATTATATTTTCTAGAGTTAATAAATCCAGCCTTTCTCCATCCAGCTTCCCTCTTAACTCAAATTAAGTATAAAAAAGATTTATTTTGGAGTTAACCCAATCTAATCTAATTAATCATATTAAAACCCGATTTAATTTAAAAAAAAACAAAAAAAAATATAATAATGTTATTTTTATTAATCCAAGTTTACCGGCTCAACGAGTAACTCAAACCAGGTTTATTATCTATGATATTTTCTTGCTGTCTCATCCAGAATTGAACTTTCCCATCAACGTCCTGGACATTTTAAAGCATAATCAAACAGACATGTCCAATACCATAGCTGCTTCTATATACAACAGCAAAGACTTGGTAGTGAGGCTCCTGTCATCTCCCAAAACAATCAAGGGATAATAATTAGTACTGCATCATAAAAATTCGTATTAAGTTTCGAGCAGAGATGAAACTGAGAAGGTATGCATGTTCTACACCAGCACAAACAAAGAAATGCGTTCATGAGTTCTGACAGCTTGGATCATAGAACGAGAATTTAATTAATAAGCCATAAAATACACGCAGTATATTGCAGGATATTGGCGAAATGGAGCCTGAGCGTATGGGAGAACCTTAAGTTGCTCCTTATTTTCAGCCTACATAACATGGTTGTGAACCTTGGCTCTACCCATAACTCGAGACAAGATGCGGGTGATGGATTAAGCAAGTAAAGTCACAAGCTAAAGAGTTGATAGGGTCAATTGTTTTTGTTTAATGGTGTTGTTTTCAATTAAAAGTTAAAAAAAAAAAAACAATATCATTTAAAAAAATTAAAAAAAAAAAAGTCGTTGGATTTTAACTAAGTTGTGAATTGACCCACTGAATCACTTAAATTAAAAAAAATAAGTGAAGTTGAAGAGAAAACTTTGGGAAATTAACTTATTTAATTAGTCATTACTACATGGTGAAAGGATATCTACGGTATTCCAAAAGAAAAAACCAATTCCTTTTATTTCACATCTGTTTTGAATATTAGTGATTAAAGATTTATATGGGATATAAATATTTTTTTCAATTTTTTTCAAAATCCAAAAAAAAAAGTCATGCATAAAGGGGTATTTTAGTCCTTTACACCAATTTTTTTTAATTAATTTCAATATCATTAAGGGCACTTTCAATCTTTTGGTTTGATAAATTATTTTTTAATATAAAAAATTAATGGTGTGTGCGATGCACATGTTTACATACTCTAAATAACACATGCAACACCTTTATGTTATCACGTTCTCTTCTTGATATTGTGACGCATGTTAGTGGAGGTGAGATGTTTTGTCGCTAATGATCCGTTTTAGGTTTTTTTTTCTCTACTTCCTAGAAAAATAGAGGTTGATCCTTTTTTTTCTGTTATTTCAACTTTAATTCTTGTTATTTTAATTTTAATTTTTTTTTCTTTTATAAAATTTGTATTTGTTTTTAATTTTATTTTTCAATTCTAAATTTTTATATATTATTTTTTTCTATGTGATTTTTATTCTTTTAATTTTTGATTTTCTTCCTTAATCTTTTTATAGAACTATTGATAGTTTTTAATTTCATTATTCAATCCAGATTTATAATAAATTATCTTTTACAATTTGATCATAATTTTTTTATTTTTTTTTGTTAAAGCTTTATTAATTTCAATTTTACACTCAAATAAAAGATTATTGTTGCTTCTAATTTATTTTTTATTTTGATTTTAACTTTTATTCTTTTAATTGTTATTTTTTTTATTTTGAATCTTTGTGTATGATTTATTTTTAGTTTTATCATTCAACATTTCATTTATTGGGGAGTAGATTTCATAATTTTTCCATGAATGATGCTTTCAATTTGATGACTTGAATCATGTGTTTTAAAAGTTATCAAGGGTTAGTATTTTTTTATAGTTTTTTTTTTTAATTTCATCATTCATCATTTTTTTTTTAAACCTTTGTAATGTTTTTTAATTTTTTTTATATCAAATTATCTCGACCTCATAACTTAAGATGCAGGTTTAATGGATTAACCTAGATTAACTTGCTTTTTAATATACAAATTAGATTTATATCATACTAGCTTTGGTTAACTTGTTCCATTTTTTTTACCCCACTTAATCCTTCCATATTTAATTATTTGGAAATTGAATAATATTGTTTTCCTCTCTTCAATAAACGATTTTTTTTAATGATCATAATAATTTTTTAATCTTTTTATATGTAATTAGCTGAAAAATAAATAACATTGTTTTTCTACTATTAGATAAAGATATTTTTTCCAGTTATTATAATCATTTCTTTAATTTTTATTCATTTTTTATCATTTTTTTATTTGTTTAAATAAAAACAGTTTATATAGCTGATAGGGATTTTCTTGAGAAAAAAAAAAAACAAAGCCGATTGTGGTGCTAAATTTAATGAGAAAAATAGAGGAGACGGGTCCCAGCATATTTTAGTATGTTTTATAATTGAAGGATGTTGGAATATCAGCCTCTTCCCCAGGAACAACGATGCTCTCCCACGGTAAGAAGAACCTTATTTTTCATTTATGTTTCCTTTTGAGCCTCTTGAAGTTGGGCTTCATTAACTTGCTTGAAGTCAAGCTTTGGTCTATTGCATTGGTGGGCTGGAATGATTTTGCAGAGATTTTTTTTGAGTGGTAATTCTCAATTGTGTTTTGAATATATCTTGCAGAGACAAGGTATGGGAAATGATTTTCAATTATCATTGAAAAATAAAATACAAAGCACTCAAAAGAATCTATTTCCTCTTGAACTTGTGATAGTCCAATTCCAGAGGTTACAATTGTCGATGCCCCAAGCTCTATCTTCTTAATATTATTGAAAGTGTCTGCAGTAGATCGACCTCTGTCATCCTCCATTGCTGCCTCAAGCTGTATCTCTTGATTATGGGTTGCTTCTAGAGCTGGTGACCTTATAGGTCGGTCCAGAGTTGATCACTATGCTTTGTATGATCTTGAATATATCATCATCATCTTCAGCAACTTCAAAAACTTCTAGACGCGGGTAACAATAGACCAAAAGGTTGCAAGTGATCGTTGAGAATGTTGTTTATGATCTTTCTTTAGTGATTTATTTGTGTATAAAATTTAGTTGCAAGTGATCACTTGGAATATTTTTAACATCAAAGAAAAAGGTATACAGTTTTTTTTTTTTACTTACATAGTATTTCTCAGAATGAATTCCAAACAAGATTTTGTTTATAGATCACTGTATAAAAAATTCATCTAAGTGATGTAGGAAATTTTGAATATTTGGATGCGGATTTGTTGCAAATGTTTATGAACCAGATATATAGGTTCAAGTTCAAGAAATAGTATATAGCCGCGCTAAACTGTTTATTTAACAAATATGATCATAACTTTTGATTCAGAGTTGAATTGCGTTTAAATTTTGCTAGTAGATTCTGTAGGTTTTGTTTTATAGAGGGTCAGCTTACTTTTTTAGCTCAGGTTCGGAAAAGCTCTTCAAAAAGAATCCAAGAGATGGTGATTTGGTCAGTTTTGTTATTTTCCTCTTTAATTTTGGATTTCCAGCTTTAATTTTAGATTTTGTTTTATTTCTCATGTATGTTGATTTTCTGTTTTTGTAAAGGGTGGTTATCTTTTTTTTGACAATTGGATAATAATTATTGAATAAAAAAAATTGTTAGGGTTCTTGTTTTGGACTGGTTAAATTTTGTCTCCCTTTGTTCTTTGATTTCTAGTCATATTATTTTCGGCTGCATAGCTATTATTCTTGAGCAAATTGTGTGCTTTTAACTATAGAAAACACACAGAAATAGGTATGTACTTGGCTCACATGTCATGTAATGACTTACAATGTTCTGATTACTGACTCTGAATATGTTAAAAGTCAGTCGGAGTCACATTCTGAATGCCGGATGCTTTGACCTCCAAGGCAGCGGCAGATTTTATTTTCCTTACTAGTTTATCTACCATTTCCTCATCACCAAGCTCAAACGCTGCATCGGCAATCTTTACCACCCCTGGGTTCTGGCTATTAAGTACAGAGAAAACAGCTGCAGCCTCATCGCCAGTATTGATGAAAAAGTGGAGCAGACCTTGAGGAACCACAAAAACTTCTCCTGGCTTGAGAGTTTTTGAGAACAGTTTGCTTTGAGTGTCGAAAAAGCCAGCAAACACCACGCCTGTGCTAACGAAGAATATCTCGGATGCTCTTGGATGGGAATGAGGCATGGTCAAACCATCAACGTCAAGGTCAGTCCTGGCTATTGAGAGGCCGAGAGTGTTGAGACCTGGGAAATCCGCAGCCATGTCAAGGGTAAGTGATGAACGGAAGAAATTGCCTGTGTCACCAGGATGACTCAGTTTTGATGACTTGAAATCTGAAGCAACGATGCTGTTTGGATTCTTGCAAGGGAAGCCATTGATGAAGACAGTTTGCTTGCCTGTAGTAGCTGTTGGGCAAGTATCCTGAAGATTATCGCTATCTGCCAAGCAGATAGTGATGCAAGGGCACAAGAAAATGCAGAAGAAAAGTGTGAATTTCATCCTGGTTTCTTATCGTGGAGTTAGTGAATGTTTTTCTTTGTTTTATACGCAGTTTTTAGAGGTTGCAAGAAATACAAGTCATTTTTTCGAGGCTTGGAGTTCACTTCTGGATCTCAAATGGATTAACCTGTAAGAAGGGCATTGCTTAGAAGAAAGATTAGTCAGCTGGATTTCCTGAATTCTTAATATACAAACCAAGATGGTTCCCCACTGTTTCTACTGTTTAATCTCTGAGTCACTAACAAATAACTACGTATGTATTTGAATTTCCTGCGTAAGCAACCTTTCTTGCCATTGCAGCAAGGCAAAGTAGCTCTACTGAATGCAACCCATGACCTAGGGGTTTTGACAGCAAATTGTGATTAAATAATCTGGCAATTTTCGCTAGTTTAATTTCAAAAAGATGCCCTGCCAATTACCAAACACTCGTCCGTTCTTTTCCTATATAAACATGCACGCTGTTCAACATAGCCATGGGCCTCTCCAACTCAAACGCGCCGATTCACTAGTCGCCATGGGTCATCTCCTTCCATGCCCTGTCCTTTCTTTTCAAGCAAATAATCATTCTTCCCATCACCAAGAACCACGTTATAACATGTACAGCAATAATGGAATGGATATCCTGTCCTACACAGCAAGAACTAGAGAAAATCTTTGGCCAGCCAGAAGAATCGAACTAGCAAAATAACAAGGTGAGAAAATAGGTGGTGGGTGCATATAAAATTCAATAGGGTCTACAGTCGTTGATTTTCTTTCCCAAGCCAAAAGTAGAATGGTGGCAGGGAAGAAAATTCATCAATAAGTTGTGCAAATTCATTAAAACAGTTTCATAAACGTCAACTAGCCTGACCATTATAGCATTGGAAATACTACATTCCTTCAATGGATTCAATTGTTGTTCTTGTCCTACAAACAAACTTTGGTTGTGCACTCATTGGAACTGGCAAGAATCTCCTCATTTTTGTTGTCAGAGTTCTGCAAATATACTTTAGTTGTGCACTCATCGGGACTAGTAAGAATCTCTGAGATGAACTTTATCAAAGAGCAGAGCCCACCCAAGAAATTATGATCAATGATGCCATTGCCTTCTGTGACATGAGCGAAGTCAATAAGTTTAACTTCAGCATCTGAACTCCCTCCTTTTAGCACTTTCTTTTTTCCATACACCATGAGAACGGAACAAGAATTCAAATGGTAGATGGTTTGATCCTCAAACCATGACTTTAGCTCCAATAATTGAGCCAAAATCCCAGAAGAACCACCATAAACGCTTGACGCCAAAGAACAATCAGGGTTCAAATTTGGATCAGTTGGCGAATTGGAAGAAACAAACTTCTTCAGCACCACTCTAACCTCATCCGTGCTAAGATTGTGAACAAGTTTTCTCTCCGGCTTCCACAACCCAGACTCTTCACTTCCGTATAACTGCAACCCAGAAATCCTAAACCCCAAACGCAAACTGCTAGATTTCCTATCTTTCTCAAAGCACCGCTGAATGTAATCCTCAGAAGCTTCAGGGTACCAAGTTCTAGAACCAATCTTAACATCCATAACCGAGGGATGCGAACGACCAGAGACAACATCCTCCAATACAAGGTGCGGCCGCTGGCTAGATCCATCAGATGCATCTAATAGCTGAGTCCCGTGAAAAACAGGAAAGAATCTTCGGATGTGATCTGGAACCCTCGTGTTCGACGAGAAGGAGGTATAAAACGCAGCCTCTATCGCGCCCCGGTCATCATCCTGAAGAGGCTTGTAGAAACGCCCTGAATCATCAATGAGGGGACCAGGCTGGCCATGACCACCTTGGTGACCCGCAACCTGGTGATCTGGGACCTTAAGCATTATTATATGAGCACTCAATTCTGTCAAAAATCAAGCAAAATACAGAGCATGAAAATTTCTATCATATTATCAAGCGTCTTGTAGACAACAAACTTGTGTACATAAACACAGCACCGACGATAACCTTAAGATCCCGAGTTAAAAAAACATAAATACAGAGTAAAAAATTAGCAAGTTCGAACTCTATAAAGCCCTAAGAGATGGAACTCAAGAAGCAATTGGAAATTGAGAGAGAATTATTATTACCTTTGCAGAGAAGACAGAGCGAGCGTTTGCTGAAATGCTGAAGGTGGTGAGTGGAGAGGGTGAGTTCCTCTGCTCTATCTAGTAAGGGGTGGGTCCAGTTGAAAGGGTAAAAAGAGCCATGACTGTAGCTGGATGGAATCGGGATCTGGGCAGCGTGCGTTGCAAAAAATCGGGTACGTGCATGTGTATCAGAAAAGTATACAAAAGGACGGTGGATTAAATATTTTTGAAGTCAAGGTCAACGGATTGAAGAATGGATGGTGCGAGGAGAATTTAGGAAACCTTCTCTATTTGGACCTTTTTTTGGTAAAAGTATCGTAAAGGTGAGGGTTTTTTTTTCTGCGAAAAATAATAACAATAATTGTTTTTAAAATAATTTTTAATTAAAAATATATTGAATTAATAGTTTTATACAAAATTATTTTTAACATTATCGTATTAAAATAATTTAAAAATATAAAATATTAATTATAAACATTAAAATTAAAAATTAAAAAAAACACAATTTATTTTCTATTAATTTAGTACATTTTTAAAAAATAACTGACACAAAGTTTAAACTCAAAGGTCTAAGGAAAAAAAAATTTCTTGATTGTTTGGCTAATTCCTTAAAATTAGACAAATAATTATACTAAATATGATTTATCATATTAATTCTAGTTACTAACTTGGTCTAAATCTAAAAAATCATGACTATTTTTTAAATAAAATTATTTTAAATAAAAATTTTTTTATTTGAATAAAAAAAATTAAAAATATATCATAGGTAGCTTGATTGGATCAACTAGGTTATTTTAAAAAAATAGCTGACACAAAGTTTAAAAAGAAAAAAACAATTCTTGATTGTTTAACTAATTCCTTAAAATTAGACAAACAATTATACTAAATATGATTTTTCATATCAATTCTAATTACTAACTTGGTCTAAATCTCTAACCATATAAAAAATCATGATTATATTTTAAATAAAAAGTAATTTGGACTTGAATAAAAAAAAATTTAAAATATATCGTAGGTAGCTTGATTGGGTCGACTAGGTTATTAACCAATCCGCTAGACCATCTAAGTTTTAATAAGTATGTGTTTGGTACTGGTTGCCGACATGGAGGTTAGCACACCTATTTCCTCATTATAAATATCGCATTACTGAATCCAGGGGCATAAAAGAAAAGGAAAATCAAAGACAGATAACACCAGCCACAAGCAGATCATGAAATTCTTGCGAGATAAGCCGCTTTCTGTTGAATTTACTGACTGGCAATTCTGAGATTGAGTTATTGCAGATCATAAAGTTGAACTAATTCATTGGGATGTAGATGCCAGGTTGTTCATGTTCTCATGTCAAAGGGCGTGAATGTGGTTCCTTTTAAATTGAACTACACCGTCGACTCTGTTCAGGGTATCTTAAATTTCACCATGGACGTTGAGATGATGGCTCAATTTGATGAGTGGCAACGCACCAGACAAGATGACCTTTATGAAGAAGCTCAGGACCAATGGCCGACTGAATTGCGTCATGCACGCGTGATTCCAGCGGTTGATTATGTGCAGGTATGCTATCTACTATAACACCATATGATTTAAGAATGGAGTTAGTTTTTGCAGCTCTCTTTGAAAAAGGAAACCTTATATGTTAAATCTGGGATCTGGTCATTTCTATGATAAATAGAGACCTAAAGGGCTATATAATTTGCCGTGCTTGTATAAAAGGTTGGTCCATGGCATGACAAAGCAAATGGCTGCCGTGCAGTCCTTCCTTGGGCTCGTCCTAACCATGAACACATTGTAAGCTCCTTGATTATTTTGCACATTTACAGCTTTATGGTGACTGAAAGTTGCATCATTAAACATCGTTAAGGGACCAATTAGTTATTTGTATCTGTTCCTCACGCGCAGGCTCTAGCATTAGCAATGGCGTACCAATCAGTCACCGATCACCATAAGCAACACCCACCTATCGATAATCTTGGGCCAAATGACAGTATACCAGATCCACCAACACTTATCATCCGCCCCAGAAGGCGGCATCACTGAAAGCTTTTTAATTGTATCCTGACATTATTGCTTTGCGGCAGTTATGTGGGAGGGCAGTGAAACTGCAGTGGATGAAGCAGAAAGATTTTATAAAAAAAGTAAAAATAATACAAGTGGTTAGAGATTGCATCTTTTCTGTTTTAAATTCATCCTTTTCTCGGAAAACTTGCATATAAAAAGACAAGTATTTTCGTTAGGTTTCTGGAAATGAAACAGCAGAACTTCTGGCAAAGAAGCCTACACGGTAGCGAACAGGATTCTATGAGCAAAGCAATGTCTTGCTGCCTTTTCTGATGTGATATTAGAATACAAGATTGCTAAAATTATGTTTTGGACTGATGCATAAAAGCAAGATCGCTTCTGGATTCCCAAGTCAAATGGACTTCTCCGTGCAGTATTCTTCTTCTAGGCCTGCTCGGCTCAAAAAAAAATCTGCATCTGGGCCTGTTCTGCCTAAAATAGATGTGCCTTCGTTGAAGAGTTTGCTGTCCTGAAAAAACAAAGGATTTGATTTTAGTTGAAAGTAAGAATATTTCTTAAAAAGATTTGTAAATGTTTGGATTCCAAACAAAGGGGAAACGACGATTTTGATTTAAAATCACAACAATATCAATAAACAAGATAAATTTATAGTATGATTGTGAAAATTATATGAAATTTTATTTAATAACTTATCAGATTAATTCAAAATATGATAAATTTATAATTTGATTTAAAAAAAATATTTTGGTTATTTTTAAAAAAACTAATTTCTTCAACTGATATTCCATCCAAGTCATATGCTAGCTAAATTTAATAACTTTGAATCTAGTTTGGGATCCAACCTTTCTTTTCTTCTGCAGTTCCTTTTGTATTTAGGTCATGCATAATTTGATGGAGTTCAAAATTTTCATGGGAAAAGCCTAAAATGCCTATATTTTAAGTATACCATCGCAATTTGGAATGCCATGGTATTAGAACCGTGATTCATGGCAAAATAGAATCAAATTAAAATAATATTTTGTATTTAAAAATATATTAAAATATTATTTTTTATTTTAAAAAAATTAATTTGGATATTAACATATTAAAATGATTTTAAATTATTAAAAATATATCACTTTAAATAAAAAAAATAAAAAAAATTTTAAAATATAAAAATAAATGGAGTAAGAAGGAAGACAGGTTTTCATGGGATATATACTTCATAGAGTTCCGGAAGGGGAAGTCAAGAAACAGTTCCTTGAATGAATCAAAAGCCTTTTCACCAATTACTACAGGACAGATTTACTGTTTGTTTGTTTTTCTAGTAAAACCTACCTTTTAGGATGTTTTTAAATTTTTTTATTTGAAAAATTATTAAATTAATATTTTTTTATTAATTATTTACATGTTTTTCATTTACAAATATTTTTAAAATACAATATGCACTTCATTATCAAATACACACACCCTTTGTCATATATTATAATTTCTGTTTTTTAAATTGTTTTTTATATAGAAATATATTAAATTATTCTTTTCTTTGCAATAATTTTAACATGTTAAATATTAAAAAATTAATTAAATATATTTATAATTAAAAAATACTTTTTAAAATAATAAAATGTTATTATTGTTTATTTTCAATTTTATTTTATTTTTTTAAATATCATTTATCGCATTATCCGGTAACCACTAAGACATCGCCGGTCACTGTCATTCTAAGCTAAGCCCCGTCCACAGTCCTTTAGACAAGATAGTCAAAAATCACCAGCTGCCGCCCTTTGTAATCAACGACAATGAGCAAGTAGAGTAGTGTGATCGTTACCACCAGTCCCGCTTTATCTCTTCCATGTACAAGATTTTACTATTGCCAAGCAATACAGAGAATCTATCAATAATTTCTTTTCTATACGTAGAATTCAAACAATTTAGATAATATTTAGTATTATAGTAGTTTTTTTAAGTGTTTTTATTGAAAAATATATTAAAATAATACCTTTTTATTTTTAAATAATTCAAAAACATCAAAAAATTTAATTTAAAGCAAACAAAACTTTTTTTTTCAAAAAAATATGCAATACTTTTATTTTTGGGTTTTGTATCAAAATAATGCCCTGTACAATCAATTTTGGGTTAAGTTCATAGATGCAATAACGACTAATGTTTTTTTATATATATATATATATATATAATGCAATTCAAACTTGAGTGCCCACTCTTGTTATTTCAAGACAAATTGATGTTCTTAATCTAGTTTATATATGGGTTTAATTGGTTTTAGAGGATGATTGATTGGGTAAGGCTATACTCATCACTCATATATTTTACCATGCATGTATTTAAGGTCAATATCTTTGCTTTTTAAAATTAATTCTATCAAGCTTGGTAGTGCTTTTAAAATAAATTTCCCATAAATAACTTGTAAAATCTAACCTCAATTATTCTTTTTATTGGAAGTGTATTGTTATAAGAGAATTAACATTGTAATTTTATAAATAACAAAGGTAATCGGTGTAATGTAGCTAAATAAATCCTTGAGATTAAGCGTGTATTTAATAATGTCATTCGTTTGCTTTTATAAAAGTATATTTTAAAAATATTTAAAAATAATTATGATATTTTCATATTAAAATTATATAAAATTAATTTAGATTTTTTTCGGTGTTTTAGAAGTCCACAGCTTCTATTAAATACAATATTTTTTTTTTATCAAAATCATAAAAATTATTTTTAAAAAATCAATTAAGATATTTTTCGGTGTTTTCATAATTCCACAACTTATATTTGATGCCTAAAATAACAATTACCTTGAAGGAACTAATTTGTGATTTTCAAAAAAATGGAGGACCCAGCATAACAAAAGAAAATATAGGGACTAAATTGCAATTTACCCCAGCGGGATTTATCACATTGTCCTTGCAGGGAAAGGAAACAGGAATGATAGCAAAGAATCAAAGGCAGGATCCTGGTAGCATGCACAAGTTAAGCATCTGCCACCCTTCCTTGCACTGTCACTTTCATCTATAAAATAGGTGACGTGGCAGGGAGAGAAGAGTCACTGCACACTAGCATCATGCATCTAGCATGTTTGTCAGAGACCAGGATCTAATTCAACGGCCTTTCTTTCCACTCTAGTAAACTCACCACTCACCGCTGTAAGAAACCCCGACAGTGTCTGTTTTCCTTTTTCTTTTTACCACGAATATATATTGCATGTCTTTGCGTGCTAGTATTTAAAATTAAAATAAATATAAAAAATAATTTTAATATAAAAATACTTGGCACCGTAGTACTTTTAAAAATACTATTAAAAAAAATTAATGTAAATGACTGGAGTTGAATGGCCAAGAATTAATCTTCCCTAAAACTATTAACTTCAAATATTCAAGTCATGTGATCTTGTTTATGAATTAATTTAAAAACCATTAACTTCCGGCTACAACAATTAGTAAAAAAATCAAAAAATCAAGAAAATTAAAAAATAATTAAAATTTTAAAAAAATTGATTGATTTGATTTTATAAACTTAAAATTAAAAAATTAAACGGAATATAAATCAAATCAAACCGAAAAATTAAGCTAAATCAAAAAAATCAATCCAAACTAAAAATAATTGGTTTTTATTTTAAAATAATTGAAACCAGTCACTTTATCCTGATTTTGACTTTTTTAAACTAATTTAATTATTAAAAAATAAACTAAATAAAAAATATTTACCCAACAACAATATACAACATAATTATATTATTTATTTATCATGCACGTTGACATCGTGATGTTATATGACATATACAATATCGACACGTTAATAATCGAGAAAGTCAAATTCCTTGTCATTGAACTTTATCTATTCTATAAATGCTACCACATGGAAATAGAGAGCTAGCATAGTTTGCTTAGCTACCCCCTAAAAATGCTAAAATATTTTTGCATTATCTAAAATCGATACAAGAATTTAGAATTATATGATTTAATATCTGTTTTCTATTGCATTTCTATATAATTTTAAATATATAATAAAAGTATATTTATCTTAAAAAAATTAAACCGATATTTTATTTAGTATTACTAATATAAAAAATATATAAAAGCCTAAAAAATTATTTTAATATATTTTTAAATAAAATATATTTTTTAAAAATATCATATATCACAATACCAACAAACAATTAAAACTACTATAATAAATTACTGCAACATTTCATATCATCCAGAAATGTATTCATCATAACAAACATTGATATCATGAGATCACAACATACATACATGATCATCACGATCATAATAAGCTATTTTTTTTTTTATTAGAAAAAAATAGTTAATCCTACTAAATGGCTACCGATCATCATGATGTGATTAAAGTCTTGTTTATGATTTTGCAGTTATTTTTTAAAAATATTTAGATATTCTTTTTTAAACAAATTATTTTTAATATTAATATATTAAAACATAAAAAAATTAAAATATTTATTTTTTAATTTTTAAAAAACCACTTTCAAATGAAAAAAACCAGGTCCAAAATCTAAGGTAGAAAACCAGCAGCAAGGTTTTACAAAACCCCATTTTCAAGCTTAAATAAGGTGGGCCCGGAAATGTCACCACGTCATCCAGTGTCCAAAACAGGTTAGCCAAACGCATTAAATTAGAAATAAAAAAGCATACGGAATCCAATCCCAGCTTTCTAGAGATTTTCTTTTTCGTATTTATACTAAAATTCAATCTCTCCAAGGGCATTTATGGTAATTACAACTAAAAAACAAGGATATTATAACTGCTAACTTCCTCTTCCCTCCCCTCTTCTGCTCTTTTATGTTTCATACTCTGCACTCTCTCCCCTTCCCTCTGCTCTTTTCTCTATCTAAAACATTTCTCTCTCCCGCACTGGATCTTTTATTCTCTCTTTAAATAAAAACAGCATTTTTCTCTTAATACCATACACAGAGATCGAGGTAATTACAATTGGAAGATATTAATGGTTAATCAATTCATCGATTTTTCTTATAATTTGCGGTTTCTGTGATTAATTAATTTATTCTGAAATCGAATTACAGATCGAGTTACTATGAAGAGATTGATGGTTTTTTGTAAATTTTTGAGTTTTGATGAATTCAATGTAACGGATCTGTTGTTTTTAGTTGCGTTTTTTTATTTTATTTTTTTTAATTCTTTGTTGATCAGTGCATGTTGTTATGATTGTTTTTTAATAAATAAAAAAATATTGATAATTTAAGTGATTGATTGCGGCGATTAAGAATGAGCTGTTTTTTTTTCTTTTTTTAAAGAAGATATTTAATGCTTGATCATGTTAATTGATTAATTAATGTTGAGCTAAATTCTTGAATTTTTATGATTTGTGGACGGAAATAATGGGAGTTATGGATAGGATAATTTTCTTTTTTAAGAAAACAAATATTATTTCATTGTTTTTTACTTTGTTTATTGTCGTAACATGTAGATCTTAGCTGTTGAGAATGGCTACGTCGACAGCTGGGGCTACAGGATGGTACAGAGGGAGAGTGAAAGCAGTTCCTTCAGGAGATAGCTTGGTGATAATGGCCGTGACAAGCAATAAGCCTGGCCCGCCACCGGAAAAGACTATCACTTTGTCCTCTCTCATTGCCCCCAGATTGGTAAAGTTCGTGCTTTTCATGATATTTGAATAGAATAATTAGAAAGATTGTGCACGGGAGGTTTTATGATTGTAATGCCGTATTTTGGCGTTAATTACATAAGTTTTGTTTTTATGAGTGGGAAATTAGATTCTTTGTGCTATTTTTTGAAGTTTAATTTTGTGAATTTGTTTTTTTTGTTTTTTTTTTCCTGGGATTGTTAGGCTCGTAGAGGTGGTGTTGATGAGCCGTTTGCCTGGCTGAGTAGAGAGTATTTGCGAAACCTCTGCATAGGAAAGGTGAATGCTGTTGAAATATGTCATCTGTTTGATGGATTATTATTATTGTTTGGTTAATCAGGATGATAGCGTGGCTTAACTTCCTTTTGTTTTAACAGGAAGTGACTTTCAAGGTAGATTATGCTGTCCCATCCATCGGAAGAGAATTTGGCTCTGTGTTCCTTGGTGACAAAAATGTTGCATTGCTGGTTGTTGCTGAAGGCTGGGCAAAGGTGAATCGATTTTGTTTTGACATGTTACCTTGATATGATTTTGAACTAATTTTTGTGCGTGGGCTTACTGAATCTGTCATATGCAGGTCAGGGAGCAGGGTCAGCAAAAAGGTGAAGCTAGTCCTTTTCTTGCTGACCTCCTACGCCTTGAAGAACAAGCTAAACAGGAGGGTCTTGGCCGATGGAGTAAGGTGAGCTCACCCCCCCACCCACCCACCCATTATAAATTTCAGTTTCTGGTTCATGGTTTTTGTTTTCTGACTCATTAGTGGCACAGAACACATGTCATTACTGTAATCAAACAATTTAAGCAGTATTAAGTAGCTATGATTAGAGGCTACTGAATGATGATTTTTTACCTCTTTGGTTGCTGCTGAATGGCTCTTTTCTGATCATTTAGAATTTCATTTGGAAACATCATGCTTACTTGATACTTGTCAGCATTTTGAATTTTTCTGACACTGGAGTTCAAATAGTGAAAATTGAAATTTCATTCCTAGGCAGATATGCTTTACTCATTGTTTGATGTGACTTGGAATCAGTTACTGTTCAGATAATCTGATTGGTTAAGATTCAATTATTTAATGGCATGATTTCTTTGAAGTTGCTGAGCTGGGCATGTTTGTGAGCTCAAGAAAAAGAAATACAGCATCTGTAGCATCTTCAATAATTATTTGCTGATAATTGTTACACCCTGCCTATCCTGTAAACACCGCACCCGCTGTGCACAAATTGTAAAAACTCCCATTTCAAAGAAATCATTTAGCAATTTGAGAATTTGTTGCTTTAGGAATTTCAATCATGTTTTCGTAATGCAAGTTTATGGGACTTGTCACCTTGTATTTCTGATCCTAGGCACCAGGAGCCTCAGAGGCATCCATCAGAAATCTACCCCCCTCTGCCATCGGTGATCCTAGTAACTTGGATGCCATGGATCTGCTAGCTAAAAATAAGGGAAGACCCATGCAAGGCATTGTGGAGCAGGTTCGTGATGGTAGCACTGTCCGTGTATACTTGCTTCCAGACTTTCAATTTGTCCAAGTGTTTGTTGCCGGAATCCAGGTATGGTTGTTGCACTCTGTTTTGAATTTTTCCTACATGCTGAGTTGTAGTTTTCCTGTCAGTCTAATTTGCTGTTGTCAGAGAATACTCATTAAATACCTAACATTTAAAACTTATTAAATCAGGCCCCTTCAATGGGTAGAAGAGCTGCAGTCGAAACTGTTGCTGAAACAGAAACAATCTCTAATGAAACAAATGGTGATGCTTCTGGAGCTTTTGCTCCTTTAACATCTGCACAAAGACTTACAGCCTCAACAGCACCCCCAGAAGTTGCTCCTGACCCATTTGGGATGGAAGCCAAACATTTTACGGAGCTCCGTACTTTGAATAGGGATGTAAGTAAATAAGTTTTTAGCTGTAATTTTATGTGCTATTTTTTAAACATGGACTAAATTCTATTTGGATTTATAGGTTCGCATTGTTCTGGAAGGTGTTGACAAGTTCAGCAATTTGATTGGATCAGTATATTATCCCGATGGGGAATCTCCAAAGGACCTGGCATTAGAGCTTGTGGAAAATGTATGTGCTGAATTGTGTTGCTTCATTATGTTAGTCATTGATAATAATTAATCTTCATAAAATAACTGATGAAAGAGTTGCCTTATATCATCTTGCTGTTTGCCTTAGCCCTTTCGGTCATCTAATGCATAATTGTACATATCCACTCCTGAATTCAGCCTCGAGGCATTGGGCCAAGTGCTAGAAATGAAAGGTTGAGGGAGCTTGAATAGGTTCTAGGGTTGATATTTGCTGAGCAGGGTGGCGGGGTCTATCATTGTGAAATAGAGCGTGGAGGGGTCTATCATTCTGAAATAGAGTAAGGTCATAGGATAAAAATAAACTCTTGCATATATTTATAAAGGAAGAAAGATGTAGTTTGTGCTCTAGTTAGATTCCTGTAGAGTTTGTATATCTTGAGCTGTTGTTAGTAGTTTATATTACCTTAAAAAGAAATGTCAGCCTATGTGCTTTGGGTTTTCTGTTGCATGGGAATGATTTATGGTGCATTTCTCTTGTGCTAGATGCAAGTTAATGGTTGCTCATGAATTTTTAAATGCTTGATTGGAAAATTAAAATGGGTATAGTGGAAATGGTTTGCATATTCCCCACTTAGACTCCTTTCTTTTCAGCTATTGAATTTTCAGCTAAATTGCCGCCTTTGCATGCTGACTTCTGGCTTGGGACAGCCTTCTTAGCTCCACGATTCTGCCTCATTTCTAAGAATGTCTTTTTGTGTTTGAAGCTTTCCTACTTCTAATAGGATTTTCAGTGTACTTCCAGATATATGGGTATTCTGAATCTCCCTCTACCTCCTCTCCTAATACAGGGTTTGGCTAAGTTTGTTGAATGGAGTGCCAACATGATGGAAGAAGATGCTAAACGGCAGCTGAAGACTGCAGAGCTTCAAGCCAAGAAAAGCCGCTTGAGGATGTGGACTAATTATGTACCCCCTGCTACAAATTCAAAAGCAATTCATGACCAGAATTTTACAGGAAAGGTAGCTGTTGGTCCGTTACTTCTTAGTTCCAATTCCTCTAATTTTGTAGAGATTTCTTCTCAGTGACGTTTATGTTTTTGTTAGGTGGTGGAGGTTGTAAGTGGTGATTGTGTTATTGTGGCTGATGATTCTGTGCCTTATGGCAGTCCATTGGCAGAGAGACGTGTCAATCTTTCAAGCATTAGGTGTCCAAAAATGGGTAATCCTCGCAGAGATGAAAAACCTGCTCCTTATGCCCGTGATGCTAAGGAGTTTCTGAGGACACGTCTTATTGGCCGACAAGTATGGAAGTTACTCCTACCTTTTCATTCCAGTGATTAAAAGAATTTCAGTACTTATAATGATCATTTTTTTTTTCAGGTGAATGTGAGAATGGAATATTCTAGGAAGATGACAGATGGACCTACAGCTGCCCCTGTTCCTGGAGATGCAAGAGTTATGGATTTTGGATCCATCTTTCTGTTGTCTCATTCTAAAGGTGATGAAGCCTTGACAGTTCCATTGACTGCTGCTGGCCAGCAACCGGGGATTAATGTTGCTGAGCTCGTTGTTTCTCGTGGCTTTGGCACTGTGATTCGGCATAGAGATTTTGAGGAAAGATCAAACTTCTATGATGCCCTTCTTGCTGCTGAATCACGAGCTATTGCTGGAAAGAAAGGGATCCATTCTGCAAAGGACCCCCCAGTCTCACATATTACAGACCTTACCACGGTTTGAAATATAAAAATTGTGCTAGAGCCAATCTCTTTTGTTTCCTTGCATGGTCCAAAATATAAACTTTATGTGCTTCTTATAGGCATCGTCCAAGAAAGCAAGGGAATTCTTGCCACACATGCACAAAAATAGGAGGATCTCTGCTGTTGTTGAATATGTCCTTAGTGGTCATCGTTTTAAACTACTAATCCCCAAGGAAACATGTAGCATTGCCTTTTCATTCTCTGGCATTAGATGCCCTGGTCGTGATGAGCCCTACTCAGAAGAAGCAATTGCACTCATGAGACGAAAGATAATGCAGAGAGATGTTGAGGTAGTGTTTTTACCCTCTCCAGTGCTGTTACTTTGCCGTTTGATTGCTTTCCTTGTTTTTGATAAATATACCTTCACACAGATTGAAGTGGAAACCGTTGATAGAACTGGAACTTTCTTGGGATCGCTATGGGAGTCGAGGACTAACATGGGAGTGACTCTTCTTGAGGCTGGCCTTGCAAAGTTCCAAACTTCCTTTGGCACTGATAGGATCCCTGAGGCTCACCTTCTTGAACAGGCTGAGCAATCTGCCAAGAGTCAGAAACTGAAGGCAAGTTGTATTATTATGTCTTATTGATCTTTTGATTGTTGCATTGAAAAATGCATGGACTATGCACTATAATCTGCTGTTCTTTTCTTGATAATCTTTGCACTTTTGATAAAAAAACTGAAAATCCTTACAGATTTGGGAGAAATATGTTGAAGGAGAGGAAGTCAATAATGGTCCAGCTGTTGAAAGCAAACAGAAAGAAGTGCTCAAGGTGGTGGACATATGATTGGATGAAACTTTTTGTCATATTTTAGAAAACAGCTTCTGATTTTTTTCTACTTAATTATCTATTTTCAGGTGGTGGTTACAGAAGTCTTGGATGGTGGTAGGTTCTATGTCCAGACAGTTGGGGACCAGAAAATAGCCTCTATTCAGCAGCAACTTGCATCCCTCAGTCTCCAAGAAGCTCCTGTAATTGGTGCTTTTAACCCCAAGAGGGGTGACATTGTGCTTGCTCAGTTTAGTGCAGATAATTCATGGAACCGAGCAATGGTGAGAATTAGCTTCCTACTTGGTTTCAATCTCCATCTACTCAAAGCTTAAATCTTAACCTTCACAGTTTGGTTTCATCAATATAATTTTCCTCTCCTGTTCTGTAGATATTATTCTTTCACCACTTGCCTTCTTTTTTCTGTCTTTGTTGTTAAGACTGTTGGATCCGTATCATCGCTATGCTTGTTAGTAAGCTAAACTTTCCTGTTTTGACTTGTGAAGATTGTGAATGCACCTCGTGGAGCTGTTGAGTCACCCAAGGACAAGTTTGAGGTGTTCTACATTGATTACGGGAATCAAGAGGAGGTTCCCTACAGTCATTTACGGCCTCTTGATCCATCAGTGTCAGCTGCATCTGGTCTTGCTCAGTTGTGCAGCTTAGCGTACATTAAGGTTCCAAGCTTGGAGGAGGATTGTGGTCCAGAAGCAGCCCAGTATTTTAGTGAGAACACATTAAACAGTTCAAAAGAATTTAGGGCAAAGGTAGAAGAAAGGGATACTTCTGCAGGGAGAGTTAAAGGCCAGGGAACTGGACCAGTTCTTATTGTAACTCTGGTTGCTGTTGATTCAGAAATTAGCTTAAATGCTTCTTTAGTTCAGGTATGAGTAATGTTTTTCATCTTCTTTGAGGATGATTGTTTGAATGTTAAACCAGATGAGAAAAGCAGGCCTTGTGTTTTGGGAGCACAGGTTCCCTTACACTTCAGGAAAATTAATCGCCTTGTCATTGGATGAATCTCTGTTATTATTGGTTACTGAAGGTTCCATAACTGACATTATTCTGTATCCATAAAGGGATTGCATGATTGTTTGAGAATGAAATACGAATAGTTTGATAGTATTTTAGTTCAGTTTCATCCGGTTGTTGAAAAAGCATAAAATATATTGTTGACAACAAAACATGCATTATGAAACTTGACAAGAATTTAGTACCTTTTCTTTTTCTCACCTTTTCTGTTGGCTAAGTTTACTTCATGGATATTTCAGGAAGGGCTTGCCAGGATAGAAAAGAAGAAGAAGTGGGACTCTATGGAAAGAAAGGTAGCCCTAGATAATTTGGAAAAATTCCAGGATGAAGCCAGGTCTGATAGGCGTGGGCTGTGGGTGCATGGAGATATCGAGTCAGATGACGAGGATGTGGTCCTTCCTGCTAAGAAGGCTGGTGGCCGTCGATGATTTTAACTTGTTCACTCCAGGTAAATTAAGATCAAAAGAACCCAACCGGCCTAAGATGAGTTTTTAGTTTGTAGGCTTGTTTTATCTGGTGTAGAAGAGAATGCAGAGATGTTTCAGCTGGAACTCAAGTTTTGTCTTCCTTTCCTTTTTATTTGTTCTAAAATTTTCGTCGTAGCAGAGGAAACAATTTTTTTTACACGTCTTAATAAGGTGAACTACACTCAGTAGTGATGCGCAGCATTATAAACAATTATTCAACAAAGTTGATAATGTATCAGTAGTGTTTTCTTTTGGACTCATTATCACTGAAGTTTTGCACTTAGTATTGTTTAAGCATTTCATGCATTCATCAGCCAGGTGGACCTTGTAGAGTTTTATATGAATCGTAGCCAGTTTCATCAAGCAAGCTCCACAACTCGTGACTTCTTAACCTAATTCCTTTCCGGTGTTGGCACCGTTCCATTTTTGTGACTGAATGGGTGCCTATATGTGTGATATCAGGAAGAAGCTGGGAAGATATATGCATTCTTCCGTTTCTGTGAAGCCTCCAGTTCAAGTGTATGGTTTAACAAGCTATTTGAGGGAAACCACTGCAATACACTTGGCTGGTAAATTGTCCAGTATAATGAGTAGTTCTGCATTCATCCTTGTCTTGTTTTCCTTGGAATCCCTTTTGTTCTTGCTTCTTGAAGCCTAGTTTTTTGGATGCTGCATACTGGATGATAAAAATATTCCAGGAGAAATTTTTTATTTAATAAGAGAGAAATAAATACCCTCGGCATGTTTTGGGAAAAGCCCAAACTCTGATCAACATTTGCTGCGTCTTAGCATGGTGTTCATCTGCCTGGATTCGTACAACAATAGCTGATCACCAAGTCCATGTTTGGGTGCTGCTCATGGAGATGCCAAATTGTTTGATGTCATTCTAGGTTTCAGCTTGAACAGCATTTTATGTGGGTTTAAATTAATATTTTGAAAAGTGAGATTGGATTTAGCTTGAAACTGAGCCAGGCACGATATTTACTTGTTCATTTACCCATGCTGATGTTTTTAAAAACTTAAGGGGTTTTTTTTTAATCAAGAGTGTGAGAATCGTTTTGCAATGTTATATACCCGAGCAAAAATATAATTTTTAAAATTTTTTATTTTGGATATTTGTTTGGCTTGGATTTCTAATAATAAAATATATAAGAGAAACCTTCATTAGAAAAAAAGTAATAAGACAATAAATAAAAAAGCATAAACTATTATTATTATTATTATTGAAAAAAATCATAAACTTGAAAAATAAAATTAAAAATCACAGAAAAAAATAAAAAAATCAAAAGAAAAGGAACCAAATTGAAAAAAAAATTATTATTATTTTAAAAAATTATAAATTTGATTTGAAGGATAAAATTAGAAACTATTAAAATTTTAACAAAAAAAATAAGGAAAAAAAATCAAAAATATAAAAAAAGACCGAATAAAAAACATCACACACACACATTAGAATTGAAAGATTAAATTAAAAAACACAATATTTATAAAAAAATAAGATTAAAATAAAAAATTAAAAGAATAAGAACTGAAACTATAAAATAAATAAAAATAATATAAAAAAATAAAAAAATAAAGACTAAAATGAAAAACAAAACATAAAAGAAATTGTAATTGAATGACTAAATTGAAAAACATATCTCTGTAAAATAAATAAAAAATTAAAAGAATAAAAATAAAAATTAAAAATTAAATAACAAAGAGGATAATAATGTATTTTAAGTTTTATAAAAGAGAGAAAAAAAAAACAAACAACCACAGCACGTTTACGCATTTCATATCATATGGAGGAGAAGATGATTGCACATTCAATGAGATGATGAATAATCAGAGTTGGCTAGCAGCAGATGATATCACATATGCTACCTGAATAACTTAAAAGTCACCCACTCATTTATCCATTTGGAATACGCGCCAATAGATTTCTAAATAAAAAAATTAAAAATAAAACATGAAAAATACTAAAATACCCTCAATAGCAATTTTTTTTTTTTGTCTTTTTAAAAGATAAAAGGGTGCTTTCACTATACATGGATAATAGAAAAATCATAAACCCCTTGCCTAGCAACTCAACTAATTTTTTATCTTAGGGGCATAAAAATATTTTTACTGCTAAGAAGCTTGTGGAAAGCCAATAAAACTTTTAGTCAATAATAATAAATGTTTTAACTTTGGGGTAAAAAAATATTTTTATTTTATATAAAAAAACACATCCTGAGTGACTAATAAAAAAAAACAACAAACCCAAAAATAAAAAAATAATTTTACCACACTAATCCATAATAAAACTGTGGAGCTAACGATAAAACTCTCATGTCTTTTAGCCTTTTCTTTTTAATTAGCCCACCCATCCTTCAAAAGGGGTTTTCCAAATTCTTTTGCCCATGTCCTGAATTTCAAACACAATCTATAGTAGTGCTTCTTTCAACTAGTGGCCATTGTAAAAGAGGTATGGTTCTTACAATGCATTAATACCAAGCGCATGAAAATACATGGAGCTTAATCACCTGAGTTACTCCTCGAATCCTTGCCCACATAATGAGCATCCAAACAATCCACACTTGAAAACTAATCACAATTTACGCTCAATGTTCAATTAAAGTTGAAGCAAGTAAATTTTGAGTATTTCTTTTCTAAATCATGCAGGTGCGGGCAGGTTTCGGCTTCGCAAGATCTTTACCCCTGAAATATGTAAAAATAATTGCATAATAATATCGGAATCCAATGTTGAGAACAGCCCGTTTTTGCAACCTTACCAAACCTTTTGGAGACTCTTGTGACGCGAACTAGAGAGGACCTCCAGAGCCAAACCTCGAGCTGCTCCTTTTAATATGCAGTGCAGAATCTACAGATATGAAGAACAGGAAAATTACGGGAGCAATTCTCGTAGCCAGAGCCACTTCCAGATACTCCACCCCTACGAAATCCTAGGACGTTTTTATTGCGTCTTTTATGGCGGAGAGGATAAAACATGAGAAAAAGGACGGTAATGATGATGACATAAATGCAATAACGGAGGCAGCCAATCATTGATCTAACATCTGATTCAAATCTGTTTCTTCTAAACTCTTGAATCATAAACTTTAATATAAAATATATTATATTTGGTGCAGATTTGTCAGCTCATCTCCAGGAGAGTACCAAGCCCTAGATCCTACTTAAGGACGCTACCAAAACCAAACATCAGATCGGGGACCGCCATGACTTGCACTGCAAAACCAAGTATCAATCAAATAGCAGACGGCTATGGCACGAGGACGTATTGTATTGGATACCAAAGCTATAATAAAACAGGAAAAGAGCTAAAGCTTGGGAAGGCGACTGCCAGTCTGTTCAAAGCCTGACATATGGAGTGATTTACACTCTGATACATCTCCCGTGTTTTTGATCAAATATAGCCATGCACGCATCCAGAAAAATAAAAAACAACTAAGCTCAAGTTCTACAAAAAGTGAATATTGTTAAGCATTCTCTGCCCTCAGATCTCATCTCTCAGTTCTCACGCCTCGATTGCCTCCTACGAGCAGGAGCAGTAGCTTCATTCTCGGCCTCAGTCTCTTCTTTCTTCTCATCGCTGCTGCTGCTGCTTCCTTCCTTGTTGGATGTCTCCGCAACTGGCTCAGGTTTCTTCTCCACCTTAGCCTACAAACACAATGACATAAACATCAGTCTCCGATCAATCTCCAGAGAAAGAAGCTGCTAAAGTGAGAAAAATAAGAGGGTTGACTGAGGTTTCAGGACTCACCTTCTTTCCACCAAAAATTATCCTGCAGAAAAGAGTAAGGATCACCACCACAACGGAGACAAGGACACCAATTGTGATGTTCGGTTGTTTCTCTGCCTTCTCGATGAGTTCCTGCATGGAAATTGCATAATTGAGGACAAATTCATGAATGGCCCACTAACTTTAGACAGCATGTAACCAGGTTAAGTATTTAACTTACAATAATTTTGTCCTTGTGCTTGCTTAGGAAAGAAAGCTCAGCAGCCTGGTATAGGAGTTCGAACACCTTCTTCTGCAGAATTAAAATGATGGCTTAGATTATGATCCCAACATAGCAATCAATAAAAACAGCAAATAAAAGCAAAGACTGCATGGCGCATTACCTGGAAGCCAGCAAGACCATCAGTGCCAGTAGCTGCTTCCTCAGCCTTCTGTTTCTCCTTCTCAGCATCAAACTTTGGCTTCCATGTTGTATCCCTAATTGAAGCTGCTGCCTTCTCATCCTTTGCAACCAAGATATTGTCAAACAATATGCCATCCTGCATTGTCCAGATCTCAATACCAACAGCAGCAATGGGCTCGAAGTCAGGCTGGTCAAGCTCAAAGTAGTTGGGGTTTGGAATATCCCGAGGCTTCCAAATACCCTTGTAGTTGGGGTTGTCAATAAGTGGAGCATGCCATTTTCCCTTGTATGCTGGATTTCTCTTCATTGGTTTCTTCCATTCACCACAACCAGGGGCTTCCTCACACTTTGGGTTATCAGTCTTGGGTGCCTCCCATTCACCATCCTCCTCTTCATCCCAATCTTCTGGTTTTGTAGCTTCAGGATCATCAATCTCCTCAGGCTCATCATCCAACCATCCTTCAGGTTTCACAGCATCCTCATCTACAATTTCAAGAGGTGCATCCTCGTCCCAGTCCTCTGGCTTCGCTGCCTCAGGATCAGGAATTTTTGCTCTCTCATCCCAATCCTCAGGTTTCACATCATCTGGATCAGGAATTGTCTTGGCAGGGACAAGTGGGGGCTCAAAATCATCAGATGCGAGGAAGTTTGCCTTCTTCTTCTCCTCTCCATCAACCAGAATTTGCAACTCATTGTCAGATTTCAAGATGGCCGTGTACACATGAGTAAGCTTGTCGTGTGGAACGGAAGGTGGGAACTTGAGGTGATGCTCAACATACTCCCCACTCTTTGGGTTTTTATGCTTCAAGATAAAATGAACCTTGTTTGTGGTACCACATTTGTCAGGTCCAAACATAATCGAATAAGGAGACTCACTGTCAAACCCCTTGGGCACCCACCCAGCATCCTGTGGTCGGAGATATTTCAAATACGCACCACCACATTCAAGCCCATTCTGAAGGCGAGTCTCAAACTGGAGGACAATTCCATCCTTAAGACTCACAGGCTCATCGAGTTCCTTCACAATGGCGTACTTCTTAGCCGGTTCACTCACAAGAAGTCCATAATCATCATGTCCCTCACTCTTTTCATGCTTCCACTCCCCTAAAAAAACCCAAAACACAGTGAACAACCAGC